CGCGACCGCCGCCTGCCGAAAAGCAATGTGCGCAGGGGAAGCCAGCCAGTCGTCCGGGCTCGGGAAAGCTGAACTCATAACGCGCCGGACTCTTTTGAGTTATGGTTTCTGAACTTGAACGAAAAGGCACGCCTTTTCGTTCGAGTTCGAGTATTTGAACGAGAAAGCGGGGTGTCGCGTTTTCGGTACAGATTTCAATAGCAAAGCATGCAGTGTCCGGTCTCGATCATTAACGCGACCGCGTAAGGGACGGATTCCGTTTGCTACCTGAATCTGGAACCGGAAGACAATAGTAAGGGTTACCGATCATGATTTCGAACGCACCCCGCCCGCTAATGGGTCAGCGGTACGGAACTGCTCACTGATGCCAAAGATTGTAACGAATACGGCTTGAGGGAATAGATCTCTGGGTACATTCGAGTGATTTAACAAAATGAGCCTCATTGGCACGCTTAAAAAAGAGAAAAAAATGTCCTCTCAAAACTTTTGCCTCTGTGACATGATATCCTTTTCCCATGCATACAATAGTGTCATTTTAACGTTTTCTAATTTTTAATCCATTTTAAAAGTAACTTTGAACAATTTTCTGTATGAAAAATTCTTTTCGCATGATTATTGTACAATCTCTCTCTGATTTATTCGCAATTACATACTTTTACTTTTCTGTTTTGTAACAGATCCCAACGATGTGGACTCGCAATCTCCTCGGACCTCTTTTGTCGTGGCTTCTAAGTATGGAATGATAAGTCCTCCCTCCCCAGTGTATCCAAACGAAGAGGACTTGTCGTTGGTCCTTGGAACCATGCATGTAAGTATATAGATATGTAGTCTTTCTGACATTATCAGTGACTTGTTGAAAATTTCAACTTTGACCGTAAAACTTTCTAATTGAAATATGAGTTTCAATTAACAATTATTATTCCTTCAATGCAATATTTTTTGACAGATCCTTCTGTCCCCTTCAAATGTTGCAGTTTATTTGCTCTCAAATTATTCCTTACACTTTTGCACTGGGAGCATACTTAGTCTTTTTTCTTTTACTTAAAACGAAAAATTTGCACATATTTCTTTCTATAAATTAAATGCAATCTGACCGCAACTGGATCCCAAAATATTTTACTGTAAAGATTCTCAATTTATTCAAAATTTTGTTTTGTACTGGTTTTTCTTTAAGGTTAATAAAATTGAGGAGATTATTAACCACTGTTGTTTTGCTCTAGTAAATCTTTCCTCTAAATTGGAAATAAACCTCCAGTGGCTGGATTTTGAAGATCCTGCAAAATCTTGCTGTTATTTGATACTCACATTTATCTATTTCATGTACCAAATTTTACAGGTCAAGATATTTTTTTTCTCAGTATTTGTAAAAAGATTGTTCCGTGAGTTGCAAAATTGCATCAAATACACTGAATTTTTACTCCTAAAAAAGTGTGTGCCTGAAGTGATGTAAGTTTGTAACGCCATGAAGCACCTTCTTTTGTGAAGGAAAGCGAGATATTATTATTGTTCTCATTTTCGTTGTTTTTTCAAGGTTTCACGGAGTAGAAGTTATAGCACAGCGAATACGCCGAAGTTAGATCAAACTTCTGCATCCATGAGTAGTCGCGATAATCAGACGAGAAGCTCTGCTGATAGCTCATCCCGGAGGAAAAAATCTGTGCCACTTAGTAGCAAGCCTGACAACAGGTATTCAATTTTTACTGTTGAAAATTCAGATTACAAGCATTTAGGGATTTGTGGTAAAATATTAATGCAATCTTTTATGTAATCTTTTTTTTGTTCTAGCTTTTTCAAATGAGCACAGTTGAAAAATAAGCATTTTCATAAAATTAAGATTTTATTCATTTTAAGCAAAGCTCACTTCAGGATGTGCTCAGTAAACAAATTAAACATGAGATCTATTTTTCCTGTTCAATGTGCTAATGTGCTCAGTGAACAAATTAAACATTAGAGCTCTTTTTCCTGTTCAATCTACAAGTTCAAAGTTTACATGCACTTAAAGCTAACTTGGAATTTTTCAGCGCAATATGAATTTTTCAACAGCACAGAAATTTTCATCTCCCAGATAGACAAACGTAAATAAATTTCAACTTAGCAAAGTTTTACTTATAGCTTGTATCTTGACTCAAAAATTTTTGGAAATTTATCCTAAAGATTTCATTGATCTTTTCAAAGATTGCTGTCAAAAATAGTAAAATTTTGAACAGAAATTTTACAGTCTTTTTTCTGTAAAAAAGTTGATTATTATTTTAGCGATACTTTCTAGAATAAAGTCAGGATCCTTCATCATGGAAGCAACAAAATTTCATTCAACTGTTTCGTGAGTGATATCCTCAAATTATTCACCTTCTCAGGAGAGAGCTCTCTGTTTTCTTTAAGTAAAGTTAGAACATCCATACTTCTGTGCCAAGGAAATATGCCGTATGAGCATTCAAGAGTTTCCAAATTTCCACAAATAAAACATGTAATTTGCGGCAGGTTATGCTTATTTTTCCTTGAAATATTCAGATATATCAGATTAAATTGCCGGCAAAATTGTCTGAAAAATTTGAAGAAAAATGTCAACTATTGTCCCAGTAAATTCGTCTTTATTGAAGAAAATATGACAACGTCTGAGGGGTAATACAGAATTTTTCCTTTGCATGGCAGCACAGCCTTATCATTTAACTTTGTCAAAGAAATGAATATTCGATGGGTCTTTCAGAGAGCTGAGTCGCTCAACTGAGGAGCTGTTCATGGATTTGATTTTGCAACGGCACGCTCGTAAACTTCTCCTGCAACACAGACTGTCTGCACTCGGACACTTCGCTGCTCACTTGGACTTTCATCTTGTCGAATGGCTCATCAAAGAAAGAGAAAGGGCGGCCAGAGTGGATCATTTTGTCACCGCTCTACGGCATTTGCATGCAGATTTTTCTTGGCCTTATCCTGTGCTTTCACAGTCGAATAATTTTCAGTACCGCAAAAACTCAAGTACGTTGACGTGATGTTTCTTTTTTCATTGTAGATTCTCCTTTCTCATAGATCTAAATCCTCTCTTCTTTTAGCCTGCAGGTGTGATTGTCAACAGGAAAGCTTATGTAGTGCACGAAGTCAAATTTTTTGGAGGAGCAATTTTTATCAAGTTACATACATACATACAGGTCGCTTTTACAGTGTGCCCGGGCGCTCTGCGACACCTAATTACCATTCTTGTCTTTCGACTCAGAGGTCATCTTGCAATTTCATCTTGAATGCCACCTATCCACGCTTTTGCTGGACGTCCCCTACATCTCCTCCCTGGAGGATTGCAATCTAGTACCTTTTTAGACAATCTGTCATCCGTCATTCGTTGAACATGACCATACCAGACAAGCTGTTCGGTCATAATTTCTTACTTTTTATCAAGTTTAATCGCTGAATTAGAACTTTAGTTTTTCGACGACAAACGCAAATTGCAAGCAGCTTATATCTTCATTGTGCCAGTAGGTAACCTTAACATGCATTTTCTACTGCCTGCTCTGATCCTTGATGGTTTAAACTGAAACTTACATCTCTGAGCAGTTTTTGTGCCTTCGTTTTTGGAAATACTCCTCTGAACAAGCACATCTTACTTTATTTTTTTACCATTACTGTTAATTACTTGTTTCTATTCTTTCCAGATACGTCTCTCTACAATAATTTTTCCAATGGACCATCAGGGAAAGAAATGGCGCTGTTGGGAGGCTCAGTGGAAATCAATGTGCCGGAAAGTGTCATCGGTGACAGTGGTTATATGAGCTGCCAAGATAACTTTATGAGACCTCTGCAGCTGCCAAGTGGTAAGAAATATTTTTGATCTTAAAAGATGATTAACTATCTTACTGTGTCATTATCTTTTTTTCCCTGGAGCACACGTTAAAAATTTCTACTCGCTCCGCTTTTTATCATTTTAAAAGAGCCTTTACTCCTAAGTTTTACCAAAACACATTTTCTAATAAATTACTTCAAGAAACTTTATTCAAGAAACTTGGGTTTAAACATATTCAATAAATTTTGTCAGTAGATGGAGACTGTATGATGAGTGAAGTGGATGGTGATGATTTTGAATGGTGGAAGGAAGAACGGGAAGACTATACTTGGAGTGATATGCCTTCGACCAAATTATTGGAACAACTTGCTCATCAGGTTACTACACGAGGGTCTTCCAAAGCGGAAGTACAGCTCAGGTACAGTGGCAACATTTAATTTAGGTCAGTCGATTGGTTTCCTTGAGGGAATAGAACATTTCTTTATAAAATGTACTTTTTTAATTTTATTCTATACTTGTCTACACGAACAAGGACAAACGTGGAAAAACTGATAATTGAGGTATTGTTACCATGCTTTTAAGGAGTGTTTTCGATTCACTGGCTTAAAATATGCCTAATAATATTGAATCAAAATCGAGTTATGATGTTTAAGAGTTAGGTTATCGAAGAGTATAGGTTTGAAAAGAAGAGAATTCTAAATTTTTTCTCCAAGAAATGTGCTTTTTTGTCCATCAATAAAATGACAATTTGAAACTTGGAATCGACTTATATTTTTTGCTGAAAGTAAAAAATTGTCTTAATTAAGAATGAGTATCTCCTTAAGTCACTATTAACATATGGAGGAACTTTTTTACTTACAGTTTTACTTTCAATATTTAACCTAAATCTACAAAAGCAAGAAATCGCAAAAATTACCTCGTTATTTTATGTGAGGAGATGAATTGTCATTCTCAACTTGGAATTTATCAAGGTGAATTATCTTCGCATTAATTTTTAAATTTTATCTTCCCATTGTCTTATCTTCTTTTTAAACTACCGATTTGCAGGTATTTGCTGCAATTGTTCATGGAAGCTTCTTGTCTAGAATGGTCAATTATAATATCAGTCCTGTTGCGTGATGCAATGGCTGTTCATCGAACGACCAACGCAGCACGTTCTCCACATCATTCTCATGAGTCTGTTCTCCGCCTCAAACAAGGTCTAATATCCCTGTGTCAGTGGAGTAGTTCTGAATGGTAAGTATCTTTATTTGCACATGTTAACCACTCCCTTAGGTAAATGCAGCTCCAACACTCACGAAAATTTTGTCAGTAATATATCATGAATCGATAAGAAAGGTAAAACTCCATAGAAATTACCTAATACAATTTGAAAGGAAGAAAGCGAAGAAATTCCATGATCGAATGAGAGAAGAAAATGTTAATTATTTTAGCAGAATGAGAAATTCTCATTCAAGCACCATTCCATTTACCTGTTCTCTTCCACTGTTGTTGAGGTAACAAAACTTTTTTTCTTCTTTGGGCTTTTTTAATGTGGCTGTTGCACAGAAAAGAAACAATAAACTGAGTAGACTTTACTGTTCAGAAAATACAATATGAAATACCAGTGAAATCGAACAAAAAATTAAGTCAGGTACATTAGAAATATCTAAAATCCACTCTTTTACATACCATTTGTGCTGTCTGTAACGCTTTTTTCAAATTTACCGTGTCTGTAAGTTTGTTGGTGTGTAAGTTGAACACGGCAATGATCCACTTTATCACAGTTTTTCCTCATTGCCGGCCATTGAATTTGACGGGGAAGGATGTACGAAGACATAACCCTCGGCTACGGTACCATTATTATAACATTAATAAAAAAATAAGTTCGAAAACTTGTTTTCATGCATGATTTTTGCTTCATTTCTTGATATAGCAAGAACAAATGCTTTAAATTCATTGAAATCATTTGTAAGTAGGTGCACAGTTGTCAAGATTGTGTGAACTTTTGTTGTGAACTTTCAAAAACAGTTAAAAACACTCGCTTCTCAGCTCAGGAAGCTCCAAGGAGCGCAAGGACCATGCGAAATAGATTCTGTGTTTGAACTGTGTAGGATTAGTCACTTAATTCAAAGAAATTTTTTCAGTCCAAAATTGAGAAAAATCGACAGGGGTCTATTTACATACACTAAATTTTTGGGGTCAAAATCGAAAGTTCTCTGATTGGACTGAAATCAAGCTGGTCCTTAGTGAAATGACCCGAGCAGTCTAGCAACTAAGAAAAACTTCCCAAAGATGAAAAAACGCACCCGGCGATATCTGTTTTGTGCAACAAACCCATGCAAAATTAGGGATATCTCTAGGATACTGGAGAAAGCTCAGACAATCGGACATCTTTTTTGGATGCAAAGGTCAAAATGATTTTTTTAAGAATTTTTGATCACAAAATGGCCAGAAAGCGTAGCCCCCAAGTTAAAATGTTTATTTCTCTGTTAACAGCATGGGCTACAAACCATTTATGGTTGCAATTCAAAACCAAGTGTCAATTTTGAACAAATTGCTGGCAACGAAGCAGCGTGTTGTGACACCACCAATCCCTCCAACGCCTGTCTCCCGATCGAGGACAACCTCTTGTTCAGACATGAACAGTCAGTGCGGCACCATCGTCGGTGGAGCCACCCTTCCTTCTAGTCCTTCTTCCGTAGCCGATGGTACCACCCCTGATGATGGAGCAGTCTTCAACGAACAGGAAGATACTGCGTCGAATATCAGCGCGACTAGCGAATCGCCAGCCAGCGGCACCGCAGCCCAAGCTGAATCCAACTGCATAATTTCATGATCTTTCTTGCATACATCCCTGTTATTTGGAGAACAAGACTTATTTTTTTATCCACTCAAATATTTAAAACAGACCGCTTCATCGGTGGCGAATGGAGGAGCATTTTTTGAGCTTATTGTCTTTGAGTCTTATTCGAGTATGTAAACATCCTTTATTTTATGGTGCTTCGTGTAATGTTTTCACTGACCCTAACAATTCACCGGTTATTTTGACTGGTGTAATGATGTGCGAAAAAATATTTCAGGTTAACACTTGAAACAGACAGTTGTGCCGAGTCAGCATGACTTGTATCCTGGTCAAAATTGTGAAACTAACGTTTGAATGAAATACACTTGAGTGTTTTCAAGTTACATTCTGTTTTAGTATGCTTGTTGCAGGTTTGTAAATTTTATTAAGTATTTTTATAGGGAATGGACCGTTGTGTCAATTGTGATTTTATATTTTTTAGTGCCAATCATGATTTGAAATCTCTCAATCTTTGTTAATTGTTTTTATGTTTAAAGAATCCAATCAAAACTAAATTTTATGGCAGTATTTTTAACTATTTTAGTGTGTATACTGATTATTGTATTTACCTTACATAGTGCTTCAGCTCATTTTTGAGAATGAAAACACTATTTGAACGCAGTTATGATGGATGGTCATATCGAAATCTTTAGAACACTATTGATCAGCAATTTCAATCCATTAACAATTCCATATTAATTAAGTAATTTTGAATTACAGTAGCTTATTCAAAAATTTATGAGTCTTTTTAATGGCATTCGATCGCCTTGCAAAGTCTTCAAAAAATGGCACACGATACTGACTTGTGTATCAACTAACTCTTTTATTGTCTCAAACACCTAGTTATGCTCCTGCTGCAAAACACGAAAAATCAGTCAAGCTATGTTTGTGCTAGTTGTTGAAAACTGATACAGTGCTCTCTCTTTATATCGGTACTCAATATAGCGAGGAAAAAATTGCCCAGTCTTTTGAACTTCTTTCGGCAAATATTCCCTTCATTGTAATAAAAATTTCTTCAACGAAAAATCTTTCAGTCCGTTGCTGATTCATGCTGGAGAGATATCACCATAGTTGCAAGATCTTTTGATACGTTTCTATTCTACTTCTGCTTTCATTTAACAATTTTCAAACGGAGCAAGTGCCTAGTAATTATCATAAAAGGGATGAAATGTTCTTTGTTCATTTATTTACAAAAAATAAAAAAAAGCAATAACATCTTTCCATTCTCATAGCCCTGGAGCAAAGTTTTCGATTCAAAATTCAAAAATTAAAGGAATGAAGCAGGTAACTCCTATGATTAAGAGTTGTGATCAATTTTAGTTTTCTAAGAATTAAAATAGAAACAAAAGTACAGAGCTCATTTATGAAAATTGGAAACTCCTTTGATTAAGAGTTGTGATCAATTTTAGTTTTCTAAGAATTAAAGTAGAAAAAAAAGTACTGCAGCCTGATTGTTGAAATTTTTTGCTTGTCGGGACGACATAGATGACATAGGTTAAAAGGTGCAGCGTGATTGGTCAGCTATGTCCTATCGCTGCTTTGTCGTGCCTATGTCGGGTCGAACTCACAACAACCTATCGGTACCTCTTAAGTTTCCGACAGTATTTCGTCCATTCCACCTGACAAAGACACGACAAAGCAGCGATAAGACATAGTCGACCAATCACGCTCCGCCTTTTAACCTATGTCATCTATGTCGTCCCGACAAACAAAAAATTTCAACAATCAGGCTGCTGAGCTCAATTATGAAAATTGTGCAATAACAAGAATGTTTATAAGCTGGTTAATAATATGTTTTTAGTTTTATTCTTTTAAATATTTGTAAATGTTAATGGCTGTGACCAAAACCTACGCAGATGCTTTACAGCAGTTCCGTTTTCCCTGCAATAGGTTTGTAATTATTTCCTTGATTTGCGGAAGAAATATCGTGAATGGTTTCTCAAACCGCCCTGTGAATCACTGATCGGAAGTTAAATTTAGTTGATTTCTCTTTGTTATTTAATTGTTCTCCACTTAAAATATTTCAGGATAGTAAGTCTGAGGATGGAAAGCTTTATTGGTATCAATTACTCATTAGAAAAATATTTCCAAGGCTCAATCTGATCTCTTCACCTTAATACGATATCAGTCAATGTGAAGTTTGCGTTTTGTTTTCGAATTCAAGGAATTTTAATTTTTTATTTCTTGGCGTAGTAATATAAACTCTGTCGTTTGCTCCAAAATTCTGAATTGTATCTAATACAGACACTTATAACAAATTGATCATTTTGCATACATTCTTAATGTTACACCTCTAACACTTACAGGTAACTTATTTTGTAAAACGTAGTACGAAATGTACAATTTTAAGATGCAGTTAAAGACAACATTTTTACCTTACACCATTAAATTTAAATTTGTCAAAAACGAAATTTTTTAGACATTTTTATTGTATTAGGTCCTCGGATAACTCTCTCTGAATGCTGTAATATGTTAAAAACAAGGGTTGATAGTGACCCGATGGCTGATGATTTTCTCCGTTTTAATTGTGTTTAGGTCTCTGATAAGGTGAAACAGTGTTTAATTTTAAGACAAATTTTTAATAATTGTAGGTAAAAATATATTTATTTTGTACGATCAGTCTTGATTGTTTATTGCCTATTTTGTTTTTCCTTATCAAAGTCTACTCTTCGTTCAGTGTTTTAGAATGTATTCTTCTTCTTTCCTTTTTTTATTTACTTATTTAATTTTTTTAAATTTTTACTCTCAACAGGGAAAAATTTGTGTAAAAAGACAGCAGTTTAACTGAATATTCTTCATAATTGAAAGATATTTTTAGTATGAATTTCAATTTTAAGGCTCTATCAGTTTTCTTTCAAAATAAATAGAAAAATAATTTGTTAGTGACACTTCTAAAATGCTGTAACGGAGAAGTGCCCTCTTTGCATTCTTTCCCAGTGCTTTTTTTTTTTTTAAATCACTCAGATTTAGGGTCATAAGTGAATGAAATAATGGAACTTATTCATCGTCCCTCCTTTCCTGAAAAAAAAACCAAAATTCAGTCCAAAAAATATTAGAGTCTGGCATGCAGTGTCTATAGATAGCATAGTTATGAAAAGGCACTTCGATTTTTCAAAAAAACTTTGGCTGGAGAGGAAAATGCTTTATTTTGTTCCATTATCAGTATAACAAATTATCAACAATCATGAAATGATTAGGTACATTCAGTGAAAACATTTTTCTCGTGATTAGACCATTGGGTATTGTTGCTTTTTGCGAGTATGCCACATTTTAGAAATGGAACAAGCTTCAAATCAAAAGAGTATAAAAAAAGTTGAAAAGCTTGGATGAATATCTGAAATATCACATAAAGAAATTAATTAATTTCAACTAAAATTGAAAAATTACGATGAGATTGCTTTTATTTCACAAATCAAAGTAAATATTACGTCTAGACTCTAAGTATATTTTTTTCATAAAATCACATTCACACAAATCACGAGCAGAGGAAAAATTGGACAAACTTTTTTTTTTGAGAAGGAATATACGTATGAATTTTGTCGATGTTACATCTAATCCAGTGGATGAGTTTTTTTGTATTATTGTGACTAAAACATGAGGTTTACTCAAGCGCTTAAAAAAAATAATGAATTGCTCATGAACATTTACAACAATGTGCCTCTGGGGCATTCTTTAGGGCAAGTTACTAAGAGCAGATATTTTTCCAGTGAACAACATTTTTGAGTGAATTGATCCTTCTCAGACTTAGATTTTTAAACATTTTATCTTGATTGAGGAAGTACAGGTCAACCTGGATTTTAAGAACGTTTTATCTCCACACAGGTAAAAGAAAAGAGATAATTTAATTCATGGGTATTTTTTATAAGGAGAAAACATTTCAGAACGTAAGTCCTCGGTTCAATAATAATAGAAATCGTGATTTGTAGATCTTTAAAGAATTTCTTAAAACTTGTTAGCTAAAACAGTTAAATTTTTTTTTTTCAACCACACAGAATTTCCTTTTCCCCTTTTCAGGAGGGAAGGCAGGGGGCTAATTTTGGTTTTGAAATGATTGCAGTATCCTATTGATTGGGAAAAAATTGAAATAGTTAACAATTAAAATTGAATAGAGTTCGCATCTCCTCTAAAATTAACCAAACAAAAAATAAAAGTACAAAACTTAAAGTTAAAAACAAAGTATGGAGAACAAAAAGTGCTTTTAATTATTTTGCATCATTTGCTGAGCTATTTAAAGTAGGTACTTATTTTATCACAGGAGGATTCATTTTCTGTTTCTGCGTCTTCAAAAAATCTTTCACCAATTTTTCTCCTTGTCGGTGCTCTAGTGCGCGGAGAACTTTAGAATCTGAAACGACAGAATGGAAATACAAAATTAAATGGAATCATTGAAGAGTTCAATTTTAAAACATTTGATGTAAACAAGTGTTTAAAAGTTTTGCAGAGATGGAAACTACATTCAAAAGGGATGATGTTCAGGGCTTATTTGATCAAATTAAAGGGAAACTTGATGAGTTGCATTGTCCCGAAAAACAGCATCAAAAACTACAGAAGTTTTAGACAGGTCTCTTTTACATAAAGCATCTCTTCTCAGGTAAAAAAAACGTAACAACACATCTATCGTGCCAAAATTCCAATTGCAAATCGTACATTTCCTAAGGGAATTTCAATCTGTACATTTTTCAGATTTTTCTTCTGATCATCAACAAAAATTAGTGGCAGTCATATTCTTGCTAAAAAGAGGAATTATTTGAGATAATGTCATTCCCTTGCAATGGAGTAATATTCCTTCATCTGGGTGACAGTGTAGTTTTACTGGAAAAAAAAACCTACTGAGAAAAGGTTTCCCTTCATATAGACTTCAACAGTCTTTGGGGTCTTCTGAAAAATTTGCTCTCATACACTGATGTCCTTATTCCAGACCAGAATGGTCACAAATGATGAAAATCTTTTAAATTCACTTGCACATAGGTAGGTATCATATAATCTGCAGATGCGTTTTGTTCCAGCTTGTGGAACATCGTGACCATGACAGAGATGGCAAGAGAGTACTTTTTAAAGTGCCTAGCCCACAAACTGGAACATCAGTGCAGTTGTTGACTGTTGCCTTTAGGTCGCAAGGTAACCAATGTGTTCCGGACACATCACAGATCAGATCTTGAAATTTTCAAGGAATTTCGTGGAGTAATGGCTGAGAAATTGAAGAATTAGTGCCAGTTTAAGAGCCCCAGTTTGACAGTGAGCTGGACGCTTAAAAAATGTTGATCATATTTCTTATGGGCGGGAGCGCGAGGGACCAGCTGAGAAATAGGAGCTGTGACTAGAACCAAGATATGTAAGATTCCTTCAGAAAGTCGATTTGCCGCTACGAGCCCACGACATGGATCATCATCAGGAGATCTTAATCTTAAAGTTCTAATCTTTATTTCTCAACAATATGTACACTTTACACAGGGAAAATACACGACAAATACATTCATAGGGCTATAACACTTCAATCCTCATGTCAGAGGGAACGACGTTGAGGGACAGGTGAAGGATGGAGGCGCAGCATTAGTCGTGCGTGCACATAGGAGGAGGTGCGCTGCAGTATACGTGCGAGCACAAGGACAGGGTGCTGCAGTACACGTGCGAGCACAAGGATAGGGAAGCTGCAGTAGACGTGCGAGCCAGGGCTTGTGCAGCAGTAAACGTGCGTGCACGGGATGGAAAGGATGGGATTGAGAGCTCCGACTAGGGCGCGACGAGGGCAAAGTCGAGAGCATCTGATTTCACCAGAGAACTGGCCGAACCCCTATCTTTTCAAAACGTAGAAAAAACAAGGGAACGGGCATGTAAATGAGACCCCGAACTCTGGTGGTCAGGGATGAAAAGCTGGAGGGATCCCTCTCGTCGGCGCACAGTCGGTTCCCTGCGCGGGGGCGGAGAAAGCGCGCGGTTGAGGCGTGGACGGTGGAACAAGGGAGAGCCACAGTGGGCTCGAACATCTTATGCAGCCCTCAAGAGCGCATTAACTTTTGTTCTCATTTGTTGAAGAAAATAAGTTGTTACAGGCGAATTTCCGATAGTGGAATTGGTCGAAGTTTTGAACCTACTGCCAGCTAGTCTCCGTTACAACAAAGGGCGACGCCGGCGTGCTGTTAGCGCGAGACGCGCACTGGCGCCTACAAACCTAAGGGGATACTTCACGCATTGCGCAATGCGTGAAGTATCCCCTTAGGTTTGTAGGCGCCAGTGCGCGTTTCTCGCTGGCCGCCCGCCCGCCGCGCCGCAGCGTGCCACGGCGCTTCCAGCAATTATTTCACAACAGAGGGGTTGCACAGTACCATACGAAATTGAAAGCGCTTCAACATATCAAGAATGACAGGCATCCCTCAACAGTATGGAGCTTTCCTCGCAAAATAAATCAAGATACTACAGAAAAAAAAGAGAGCAGTAGCCCAAAAAGTCACCAAGTCCTAGCATTCGTATTTAATAAGGTTTGGCATAGTTTTTGAATTTCATTAGAGAAAAAAGTGACTCGATTTAGGCAGCAATAACGACCACATCCAAAATTCTCGACTCACTTCCCAAGGTGGGTTAAAAACCAGATGGATGAAAACGTTGGCCAAAATTGATCGAGCTGCTGAGTTTAGTTCTTGACTACATCAGAGCGTTTTCCACCTTTGGTTTGCAACCCTGCCAATCTAATTGAAAAAGTCGACCAAATCCACTCTCGAAAATTTGCCTTTTGTGCTTACCAGTATTGTTAGAAGGACGACTAAGAGGAAGATGGATTTGATTCAATTCATCTAAATGCGTTCCTGGAGTGGAGACTGGAATGTCTGAGAATAGGATAAATGCTTCCGCAACAAAGTCTTTTTTCATTCCTAGGTAGTCTTGGTCCTTAACGACAAAGAGCAGCAGAGCCTTGTCACAGTTTCGCTGTTCATGACTTAAATGGCTGAAAAAAAATCAAAATCCAATAGAATAACAAAATAGAAAATAGAATTGGATGTTTGAAAAAATTGTCACTCCAATTGAATTGTGTATTCGAAAAAAGCGTCACTCTCTGAAAAAAGAAAAAATATCCCACACACCAGAAGCAGATGAATTTGTCCAAAAATTTTTGGTTGGTGCACTGCATGTTGTGAGGTTGCAGGTTTCTCATCACACACTACGTTTTCAGAGGATGACTAGGTATTGTTATTGCAAAAATTTGTAATGTTTTTCTTTACCTTTTCGAAAATATTTTTCCTGAATTGTTTACATAAATATCATATGGTACCGATTCTTTTTGAAAAATTGGTACAGACCTTAAATCTTGAGCTATATTTTTTGTAGTTTTACTTTTAATGTGAAAAACTGCAAATAAAAATTTTATATACACACCTATTTTGTTACTGCGTCCAAGTCATTAAGTTAAGTTACTAAGTTAGCAAATAAAATCAAGTAAAAGATCAGGAAATTTGACTTACACGGTGAATGATTCATCAAATAAAGGGAATAAGGTTTTCTTCTGAACTTTCGTTTTGGGTTTTGAGATATTTCTAAATTTGTCCTCGGGTGAGAAGTAAACCTTAAGGAAAGGATCACATTGACCTAAAACACAAAGATTATTTAAATTTATTCATGGTATTGATTTAAAAACATTGATCTCTTTCGAACATAGAACCAAATAATACATTTTTTTTATTTTTTCACAATTTGATCATTTTTTACATACTCTTTTTTTAAGATCCAATGGGGCAAAGACAAGGAATTTTTCCAGGGTTGTAGCATTGTTTATCCTCCGCATAATTTTGTGAAAAAGCCAAAAAAATCGTTAAAAAGTTCAAAGAATACAAGGGGTGAAAATCCTAGTCAAAATCTGACCAATCAAAAAACGACAGCTGAGTTACTGTAACAAGGTAATGTTTGAAGATAAGTTCAGCCAATCAGCAAGCGCCATTTCCCTGCCTGGCTACATCATTAGAGCCCACCAAAAATGCCCCTTCAAGCAGGTTCCAATTTAGGCATTTTCAAAATGAGATTTCTTCACCATTGAGGGTTTGAAAAAATCAGTACAAATTCCTGGAGGCTTAGTTCGCACCGTCCCGTCAGAGAATGATTTTAAAAAAAGGTGCCAATGACTCGTTCTTACCATTTGAGTCCATAGGAAGTAAATTCCTGGCATTTAATATTTCCAGTCTCAATGTTGTGTCGACAAACTGTGCTTTGATGGCTAGCTCGCCGCAATTCACATCCTCTATCCTTTGGATCTCTGACAGTCTCTCCAGATAGTATTCATGAATTAGCTGTGGAGTTTCCATGCCGTACAATCGCAGAATTTCTTGGAGGTTGGCCAATATCTCTTGATTGCTCGTCGACTCGAAATCGCCTTGCTTGAAAAATTTTACTAGAATGTCTAGAGTCTCATTAAGACTTGAGAAGAAAGATGGTGGTCTTCGTTTCTGGAAACAAGGAAATAAATGTCACTTTGGACTAAAATAATACGTCAAGTACTAAAGAATTAAAAATCAACACTTCCGTAATTGAAAGAAATCTTTGTAGGAGCAGATTACTTATTATGTTATTTTACATTTTTTTAGGTTTTAAAGATACCTGGGTAGGTAATTGATTTCTATAAAATATGAAATAAAATGAGAATTAGAACTCTAATTTTCAGTCAAGTACGAGTGAACAAAAATTTACTTTGAAACATGCTTAAAATTTATCGGGTATGATTCCAGTTGTTCCTTGTTTGAAGAACAACCAAAAAACATAAAAAGTAAAGTAATATAGTCCAGAGAAAAGCTACTGCAAAATAAGAAAGATCACATCCAAAAAAACCAACCCTGATGAGCCAACCAGGATGAACCAATCAGGCCCTTTCTCAGATTAAGTATTATGTTATTTTTTTCATTTGGTTTATACTTGAGTAAGATATAACTTTCTGAAGAAGTATTTGAATAAGAAACAATATGTAAAATTCACCCTTGGGTACACAAGGGGGAAAAGGGATTAGCAACACAGTTACGCTTTTAAGAAAATTACTACTGTCCATAGAAAAAGGGACCTTCTCGTTTGGAATCTAGTTTGTTTGAGCTGAACACTGCTTATTGGAGTGTTTTACGCAAATTTTTAGACAAAAATCACCTAAGATTGTATCCCTAAACTGAAATCATTGGGAAAGTTTTAATTAAAAAAACATGGTTTTAAATACAAGCTGCTCAAAGTTTTAATCTAGCATGATTGGGGCTAAAAACTTTGGATTTTAATGCAACTAAATGCTCATTGATAGCAAAAAATTTATCGAAATTGCTCATAAATAATTATTCGGGATACAGGAGGGTATTTTCTATCAAAGACTAAAATTCTGATATTCCAGATTCCAAATTGACAAAAATCATCCTGCAAAATTCTCCTTTCTTGAACATGGGTCCCTAATACAATGAATAATTGTAATCAAATACTTCAGGAAAGAGTTCCCTAGGTATCAGCCGTCAATTGTAACTGACTGCTTTATTTGGACGTATTTCTGTCAAACGGAACTAAGCGCCATGAAAGAGCATTGAGAGCATAGGATGGAATGATCCCGATGCCCGGTTCCGCCGCCAATCCAAGCCCCCTTCTACCTTCCTCACCCTATGGCACCTAGGTCCGTTTGACAGAAATACGTCTATTTGAAGAGGAGCGTAACTGCTGCAATTGACTTTACAATGCATGCCTAGATGCATGAAAATACTTCATTACAAAATTTTGATCAGTTTGATAAACTGACGTGAAACTTTATGTCAAACTGATCAACATTTTGTAATAAAGTATTTTCATGCATCTACGCTAATCATTGTAAACTCAGTTGAAAAATAGATGCAATAATGCAAAAATATAGGAAATTATTAACTGCTGAGGCTTCTTTATGTTGTTTACATTCTTTTCTTAGTGAATGGTTCACTTTTACTTACCTCTAGATTATCAGTGACAATATCTGACATCAGTTTTGATACATTGTTCCAAATGATAGAGAGAATTCTTTCAAAGTTATCGTTGTTGAGTTGAGTATGAAGTGTGGTTAGGTTATTGTCCAAATAAGACATGAGACGATCCACCTGATTACTCTCTTGATGCAGTAATTCCGCACCTTCTAGTAGAAATCTGCCCATGATTGGGGTCATCTGAAATTCAAGAATTAAAAAAATCCTTTACGAGCCAATAAAAATAAACCAAAAATAAACTGTTAAGCACTCTTTATTATTCGATCGTTTGGTTTATAGAAGATCCGGTTTAAACATGTTGCATTAGATTTTGGTTTGTTCTTTGTTTTGTTAAAAAATAGATGTTAGCTGTGTTAAATATTAGTTTTGTAGTACACATGACTTATGAAAATATGGTTCTATTACTTGCAAGATAAAGTTTATTATTATTATTGAATAATCTATTGTGATTTAATCAAACGAAAAATCGAGATGCAGTGTGATTCAATCGCTATAAAATTGCTGCTAAATTTTATCGTCGATGATATCGTCAGGCTCACCAAATTATAACTAACTGGACTGAGTTAAGCAGAAAGGAACCAACCCACATTTTGGAAAAAATTGAGTTATGAGTGGTTTTGAACTCAACCACTGCTCTACTATCTATCACCAAAAATTTAAAATTTTTGTTGGAGCAACTTTTGCAGAAATTGAACTTGAAGTTTATCTTTTACATTGAGTCTTATGCAGAAGCCAAACTTTAAACCTCTTTTTCTCGGTTCGATCCCGATGTGGCTTGGTTCCTTTCTGTTTAACTCCGTCCAACTAACCTTGATTAAATAAAATTGTGATTAATAAAATCATCATTTCTTCTCGATGGTGAAAGTGTAATTTAATTGCCATAAAGTCTAGGAAAACCGCTTACAGCCCGGTGATCCCAACGGTTGTATCACTGATAAAATAGCAACTTTATTTTGATAAATCACAATTTTTCTGTTGACAAATGCTACTTGGGGCATAGTTTTTCCTTGGAAATTCGATTGGAAAATTATGATTCTGAAGTAATTTTAATCAGTTTTGAACTCAAATAAGAAAAAGAAATAGCAAAGAGAGGTGATGAAAAACCAACATAATTAGCCATAACAATGGTCCGTTGATTTTTGGCTCTAAAGAGGCATGGTAAGTTTCTTAAATCACAAAATTTGAATTTTTTTACGTGTCTGAGTTTTTCAGTTGTTGCTTTGATTCTGTATTCTTCAAGTCTTCAACAGTAAGCATCACAATGGTCAAAGAATCATACAAAAATCACTGACATAAAAACCGTCCTAAAAAAATTCTGAAATAATGGAATTTGAGGAAAGCAGATTGGTTGAAAGTGGTTATGCTTACCTTATTTGCGACTGTCTCCAGAAGCTCTATAATTTTGTTCTTAACAGTATCAACAGCATTATCTATCACAAGTGTAAGGGTATTTTTGCAATGTTCAGCAGCTGCCGAACTTTTAAAATCTGCTAATGAACCAATAATGTTACTTAAACCTAGTTCATCTACAAACGGCGCAATTGACTGTTGAACATAGTCGATATTGTTTATCGCCAAGCACCACTAAAACATACAAAAAGCATAAAAATTCAAGTTAAATAATTAACATTAAAATAGTCTGATCTTAATTTTTTAAAGTAAAAATTAAAAACAATACAAAAGAATCGGACTAGACACAGCTCTTTGTACTGATTATGTGCACCATCACTACACTAACTGTCTTGCCGATTAGTTTTTGTAAATTTTACATTCTCATAATAGACTTACAATTATTTCAGAGACTACAGAGTTTTTCTTTAAAAAACTCGTAACTTTAGCAGGAATTTTCCGATAAAATACATGGTAAGACTTGTAATTGTCCCAGTATTAGAAATTTCTGTTTTTATGAGAAAATGACAAATTCACTGCATGACAGGCAACATGTTATCTCACAAGATCAATAAATCATTTTACATAAACAAAACCTTTAGATTTTTTTAGATGGTTTTGATTACGATTAAAATTTCAGAATGAGAGCTACAATATATTAATGCGAACTCTGCGCAGGCTAGATGGTGAATGTAATAGATTCAGATGGGAATAATTAGACATCATAGAATAAATACCTCATTAGTTACTTCAAACTTTTTTTCATACACAGAATCCACGTCTCCGATATTTTCCACTTTTTTACTCATCTTGTCCGCGTAAAACACTGAGCACCTACAGATGTCCTGGAAGCAGAGAAAGCCATGATTAAAAAGGAATATTTTCATAAAAACTTCAAAATTTCATTTATTTCAAATTCAGAATCAAAATTTTTCAATCGTCAGCATATAATGAGAGATGAACAACATGCTGCTCATCGAAAATAATTAACGGCACTCAATTACTCTCTAAGTACTACAGTTTTCTGAAGGAGAGTACATCCTGTTTGTGTACCCATATTATCGTAGGTAGTGCTTATGCAAACACTTTTGGAGAAATTACTTTTTAAGAAAATATTCACAGAAAGAAGAAAAAAAATTAATGGATTTGTTTTTCGATTGTAAACTGAAAAATTATTGAGCAGTGCAAAAAAGCACAAGAAAATTTTAATACAAAAGTGAAAGTAGGTATCATAGAAGTTTAGGTCACAAAATTTTGAGCGGAAACTATGGTAAATGAGTACTAAGGGGTTTTTTTTAGTTTAGTGAATTGATTTTGTATCGCGTATTTCTATTTTAAAATATTTTTCTCATTTCAGCAGATTTCTGCAACTCTTTAAATTTAAAATCAAAGATATTCTTAAGCTCAGCTCATTTACAAGTTTCACTCTTGATTTAAAAATCATAGAAAAGTAGACACAGAAATTTCAGAGGTGGAAAGGATGGTTTTTTCTATGTGATCTGATACTCTCTGATGTGTTGCACAAAATTATTCCACTCCAGGATTTTGAGGATTTCATGACGGAGAAAAATTTGGCTTGCAACTTACATCAATTATTTTTGCTACAAAAGTGTATGATCCTTCAATATCAGGCCACGCCAATTGTTTCCAAAATATTTGGATCTGAAATTAGAACGTAGAAAAAATAGAAATGCATTAAAAAACAGCAAGCTCTAACATCTGGGAAGCTTTCAACTATGTTTCAAAATACAAAAATCTCTTTTTTTAATATCACGTGTTATGAAAAAAATTTCTTGAAACAAAAACGAAAACTCTACAACAAAAAATCGCTGGGTCCATTGTCAATTTATTATAAAGAGAGAGTAAGTACTGTAAGCCTAATTCTCACAATTGTGTGATAAGAACCTATTATGAGCCTGTATGTTTCTTCCTTTGAACCAAGTTTTACAGATTTCCATGCGCCACATTTAATTCGATGACACCAGCTTAGGTATTGAATGGGAACTCATAGATACTCCAAAAATTACACAATATTCAATTTAACAAAAAGAAAATTGAGTTTCCTCATGTAATTTGTTGCATATGAGGCCCTAGATTAGGTTTAATTCCTGAGGGACAAAGCATAGAACACAGAAACTCTATGACATTTATTCAGCATCAAATTAGAACATTCTTGGTGTCTGGTTTTTTTTTTTTTTTTTTTTTTTTTTTTGTGTGTGTTTGCATAAAACTTCGAGATAAGGAGTTGATTAAGGGGGCTGAGGGATTTGATGAAAACAAATTAATATCAAACAAATAAATATCTCAAAGAGGAACGACAGTGAAATTTTGAATTGAGATATTACGTAAACAGGAGATAAATACCTGATAAAAAATTGCTAAAGTATCCACAGCTGACGAACTGTATTTAACACAGACATCTACAGGTTCTAATTCATCAATTTCCACAGCCTTCTCTATTCGATGCATTGCTTTGTATACAGCAATGTCTAGCCACTGAGCTACTCCTCGATAAAACCATGTGTGGAATTTTGAAATGCTATAATCATCTTCGCCATTTCGACTGAACGTTTCTCCGTGCCTGAAAGTAGGAGAAAATAGCAAATTTTATCCGAGAAAATATTGGCGTGAAATGGTGAAGTGTTGAGATTCCTATGGATTAGTCTACCTTATTTTGATCGTGATCAACGAGGAGAAATCTTTAAACTCCTCTTACACACAACTCCATCAACAGTGACTGTCAGCATATCAATGTTAAAACTGCAGAAAAGTGTGCGTTTGCAGTGTGGCAAACTTCTTGTCATACTTTATTTTCAAAATTGAAAACTACTAAACGTCATATCTTGAAAACTTGAGTGATTTTCCTTCGTTATGTGAAGAATATTCTATGAAAATTTCGAGGTATGATGTTTATTTGGTCTCATTAAAAAAAAATAAAATGGGAGCAGAGATTCTGAAAAAATTCAGTCTCACTGTCGTTACTGGGCTTATACAAAAAAGTTATTATTTCTTACAAAAATATACTCATGAAAAATTTGTGTTTTTTAAAAATATTTGATGAGAATTTCCTAGATTATATTTTTTCATGGGTTTGAATGAATGTGTTCTTTGCACATTACTGACCTACAGTTGGGAGAGAATGCTTAACTTGAAACCAATTTTAAATAAATGCTTAAAGTTTAAACCAAGCTGTTCTTCTGAACTTCATGAGATACAACTTCTGTAATTTATTATTTAAACACAGAGACGAGTGTTTCTGTCGATTCATTCGTTTAGGCCGCCGAGAATCAATTAAAATACTTTGTATCTTTTGGGTCCTCATTAGCAAGTGGTTGCCAATAAGGATGCAAAAATATTCTTACACAACGAAACTGATTTTGTTTGACAAAAATAAAACTGCAGCAACGATTATTTAACCTTGTCAGCACCCTAAATGCCAGGTTGGTCAATACAATTTAATTTTGAATCCAATAAGGGTAAAGGTCCTTTGATCTCACAATAAGATAAATGTACATGAAAAAATATGAATTAAATATATTACGCAGTGAAACGTTGAAGAGCAAGATACAGCTCAAACAAGGTTGTTCCCATTGATAAAGGATCATTTTCGTATTGATTTTCTGGAATGGTATCTTCTGCCGTGAAAGTCAAAGGCTTCAACTTTTGACAGACTTCTTGAATGACAGGTTGGCATAGATCACAGATCTAAAACAAAAAATGAAAAAAACGGTCTCATAGTGTTGGAGTTTTAAACCATTTAACATTACAACAAAAAATTGTTGGATTAGGGGAGTAAGTTTGTGGTGCTGAGTAAGAGACATAATTTTCCATTCCAGATTTAGCGAGGTATTTTTGTCGAATATAAGTATTATCCTAGAACCAGAAAACATTCCCACCAATTATTGTTTGGTTTTTAGGATAGATACTGTACAATGAGAAATATGCACAAATCTTGTAGAATAAACAATATGTATGCTCAAGTTTTCTTTTTAATGAAGCGTTCAATCTGAAAAAGACTCAAAAAATCTAGAGTTGAGTTCTGTAACTTTTGCTTAGCACAGTAAGAACGTTAGAATGCTACGTAAATACCTATGGTTTGTGTGACAGGCAAATTGGAGGTAATAGAATTTTATTTTAAAAAACAAATTTTATTTAGAAATATTGCAAGAGTATTACTACTCCAAGAATTTGTCTTGTATCTAACTACATGATTTAGATAGTATCAAATTAATTAATTAAAAATAAAAAGTAATGTTTGATGATACAGTAATCTACAAGAAAGGTAAAAGAAATATCAATGAGAAACAGTAACGAGAACCAAGACCCTCACATTAACTATACTGACATGGGTATGGAACTATCAAACTCGCATTGGCTGAATGCGAAAAATGCATCTCTCCATTGGAACATTGCAGTATATCCGATTTTGTTTTATTTTTTTCAAGGAACACCAATTAAAATGTTTCCCCAAAATCTTTTGCCGTTTTTTTGGAGGAAGTAAGGAAAATTCACAGAAAATTTCAATAGGACTGTTGGTAAGTTTTCCTTCAAAAAATAAAATGATCACAACTTTGAGTTGTGACACACATATTTCACACATGTATACACATAATACACATGTGTGTGTACACATATTTCGACTTCAGCCATTATTACTAATCGATAGATTTCTAAGTTCTCAGTTTGCCAATTTCATCGGAACTCACTTTTTTTTCACAAACTTTTCACAAAACTTTTCACAAATTTTTCCTCCCTTACTCACATGATTGAAAAATTTTGATAGTATCGAGACAGTCATTTATGTAAAAATTAATACATTAATATACTCACTTTGGTTTCATACTCGGCAAATATACTTTTTGCATACGGAATTGAGATAGTTCTGCAAAATAACAGAGGAGAAGGGAAAAATTAAAGTAAAATTACATTGTAAGTCAATTCATGTTACAGTTGATCTCTTGCTAAGAGGCTAAAATCAAAGTTAGAATTTGAGGATCAGCATAAATTACAAGCAAATAAAAATCAGATAAAAGCAAGGAAAACATGGTACACTATTCCAGTCAAAATATTCTTCTATCCCACAATGTACAACCAAAGTAAAAAAATTGCTTTAGCTTTGAAAATGAGAGGATGAAGGACTGAGGATGAATATTATTTGAATTCATTAATTTTAAGTCGGAACATTTCACACAAATATCTGATGCTTGAAAATTAACCTGAAATGAACTATCTCAGACTTCAATGGTAAAAATGCATTGTACGGTCTTCCAAATTTTAAGTTTCAATGATCATCTCAGGTGCTGATTGTGCAAATCATTGATACACTCTGTCTGATCATTTCAGCAAAACTAGCGTTTAATAAAATGTTAAAATGATTCTTGTTTTTTCCTTCAAATCAACTAAGTAAAGAAAAAAGATGAATTACATACTGTTGGAAAATTTTTTCATGGTGGTCCATCGCACGTTGTAAATCTGATTTCAAACTGAGAACTATTTTGATCAAATTTTTTAACTTAGCCTCGTCTGTACTATCCTCTGGTTTATTTGCCTCTGTTGTGTGAAGGAACCTGCAGGAAAGAAAATTGTGTGTAAACAAATTAGGACAGTTCTACATCATGTACGTTTCCTCACTCCTCAAATTTTTACTTCCTCCTCGAATCACTTCTAGAGATCTAAAAGCACAGTCAATTTCGATAATTTTTCAGCTTTAACAAATCCGTAAGGTCAAACTTTTGATCAATCTGCTGATTTCCAGTTTCTGAAATATGACGAAGGCATTATTTTGATGCAGAGCAATGTCCTGAAAGAACAGAGTGCCCTTCAGGAGTTCGTCCCTATTACAGCCATGGTGTCCTCCGGTAGACATATGAATTGAGGAATTCTTCAGCAAGAGAGCGTAAGAGGCTTGCAATACTGCTAAGATTGTGCAATTTTTGGGAGCATTTGTAGCAAACGAAATTCTTTCACAGTTGACTTACTTTCCCAGAAAAACGAGGAGAAATTCTGAGCAGATTCAGGGAAAATTTCACAGCAGAGCATTTAGATGGATTACTTGTGATTAAACAAGTGCCTAGCATAATCTTGGCAGCACTGGAAGTCTCATAAGCCCTTCTACTGATGATGTCCTCGATTCTATTTTGTCAAATACAAGAATATTAAATGCATATTCCTAAAAATTCGTGCGAGGATAGAATCATAGTGAGAAAATTCTCAATGTCAGTCTGATTTCAGCATTAAATAAGACTCACCAATCAACAGCTCCTTGAACAATAGCATCATTGAGGGCGCTCTTGATGTCATTCGAGGGTGTTTCAGGCGTGAGCCAGCCGTACACTGATTTTGGCAGTAAGTCCATATCTTTTGGCACTTCTAGACTAGCTAGATTACTTAAAGTACTGCAAAAAATAAAGAAACCAACTCCTTCATTAACTTCATACTTGAAAAAGATAAGCAGGGCGAAGAATGAAACAAATCAAACACATTAAAAAATAATACAAACTAGAATCAGAATGTTGCTGTGAATTTAACTGCAGAAAAGCAGGCTTTCCCGTACAGTAAAGCTTATTAGACTTATAAATGGCGGAAACACAGTTCTTCACCACAACCGAACAATGTTCAAAGATAAACAAAGGTTGAATATGTTATTTTTAACTATTATTTTTAGCAGTAGCGTATCATAATTTGCGAAGAATCGATTGATCTGTCATTTACTATGGATAAGGATCAATTATTATCAAAGTGTTCACAACAAGCGCCTTGATAAGCTATTCTTCACCATAGCTTCAAATGAAAAAATATTGAGCCGACTAATCACGCTTCGCAACTAATTTTTAAACCTTAAATTTAATTGGATTCTTCCTACATGATTGTAATTTTTTTTAAATTTTTTGACTAGTGGAGAATAATGCAGAATTGGATTTTTTACTTTAGTGCAGTGGTATTTGCAACACAAATTAGTTTCCAGATGCTGAGGAGTAAATTTTCCAGAAAGAGTCACATCTACTTCATCCAAGTTCAGAGATGAAAAAAGGGAGATGAATAAAGATATGGCACTTAAGGGGGTATATTAAGCACCTTCGAAACTTTTTGATTTATGTACCCAAAAAGCTGAAACTTTGGGTGATGTTGAAACTCCATTTAAGGATGCTCCAGGGGAAAAAATTTCAAGCGGGTTGCTTACCCTGACCCTTGTAGGGGCTAAGCCATAAAACAATGGACCTTGCTTTGTTACCATTTTCTATGGGCCCTAATCAACCGATTCAATTTTTTTAGGGACAAAAATACTCGAAATATGTCCCTGTAAACAGTCAGGCATTAATTTTGCTTAATTTTCAAATTTTGAATTTCAAGGCATTTTTTTTCTAAATTTTGCCTTTTTCCCCCTACCTCCTTCTTTGACTTAAAAGCTTGAATAAATATAACTTTAAGAGGAATTAAACAAAGTACGTTAATCAGCCGTTTGAGACGGCAACCATCAAAGGAAATCAGATTGAGTTCCTGTGACAGATCTTGGCGCTAATTTTGGTCTCATTGTTGGACTAACAAAGCAGAATAAAAAATAGGGTATGAATGGCTTATGGAAACATCTAAAACCTTAAAAAAATTAATGTTACATGGGTGACGCACCTTAGAATAGCTGTGAGTTGTTTGGTTGAGTGTTCATCCCCTGGAGACGATTTTCTCAGCCGTCTAATATTGTTCAGGCAAGATGGTAAGAGTTTCTTCGCAGCGTCCCAGAAAAATTTAATCTGCAAAGATTTGAAAGAATATAGAGTGAGTATAATTAGGTGAGAAGTCTATGTGTAGCTTGGAAGATTTACTCAATAAAGAATTGGACACTTGATATGCAACAGGTCCTAATCGGCTAACCGATTATTGAGAATTTGAAGCAGTCCGATAAGACATCAAAATACGATATGCTGTATGCTTGAGATAAGGGTAAGTCTATTCTGGTCACGCCAACATAGTTTCAATAGCTGATCAAGCTGCTGACAGAGTTGCAACTGTCAATGATCACAACTTTTTGATGCATATATTTTTAATGAAACAAAAATTTTCATCAAATTTATACTCTTTGTAACTTGAAGCAAATACCTGCTCTGGCAAGCAGGTATTTTGATTTCTGAATTAGCAAATATTTCAAAACTGTGGCCGGATCTCATTATAATGTTTTTCGAAATAACGTTCCTCTCAAGACAAAGTTCATTTTTTTTAAGCCCCTGCAAACCAATTCTCATTAAAATGTTTTTCCGAAAACAACATTTTACTTTTAATTCCCCTAAAAACGTTGTAACAAGATACAACCGTATTTTATCTAGTAGTCAAGACAAACAATTTTTGCAGAAATGTTGTATCTTAATGTAAAAGGACATGCACTGAACGCATCCATTATGTAAAAAACAAACCTCTTCCTCTGAAAGGAGTCCACTTAGCAGTGGCTGCAATATAGATGAAGAAAGTTCAGCAAAAACAGTGAATGATAGCGGATGATCAATATGAATCCACGTAAATTCAATCCACCTGGCTAGGCTTTGATTCGTCATGTTTAGGTTGCTTTGAGCCGCATGTTGACGAATGATTGTTTCAGCTGGTAATGAAAATTCTCCCTCCCATTTATAGATAGGCACCTGAAATTGAAAAATAACATGTGATAACACACCTTTCCCGTGCTTCCGTACCGACCTTTCGATATTCGTGCTATTTTAAGTGTATCCATACTTTTTCTGAACAGTAGACACCCTGACTTCTGAAATTTCGCCATTTGGTTGATTATGAATAGTTTTTCATGAGGCATACAAAACTCTTGCCATTGACAAATCAAAACGAGTGTAATAGCCAAGAGAGATTCATCACGTACCTTTGATGTTTGGATATGGTGTAGTAGCAAAAGTCTTAATATGTGCCTATGCTCCTGCGCAGCAACTTGAGTGTTTTTCTCTGACCCGAACGCCATTTTCAGTTTCACCGTTCCTTTCCTTTTCACCTTTGACTTTTTTTCTAGACTACACCACACTGTCTGACCATCAGCTGGAACACGCTGAAATCAAATTGAGACTTTTAGGACAGGATAAAATTTATTTACACACCAATTGAATTCTAGGACATTAAACTATCAGAGCAAAGATTTTAATCATCAGATCATCAGGAATCATTAGATTTTAAAAGAACTTCAAACATTTCTATTATGGGGAAAAATTGAAGTGTATTAAATTCTCTTCCAAAGAGGTACCCTATCCATATGATTATAGTTGCGATAGAATGGCCAAGGACTAAATTTTTTCTGAAATGTCACAAGAATTCCTTTGACTATTTATATCGTTGTATATGGATATATTTTTATTCAATATGGTATTTTTCCCCCCTTCAAATGTATACAGGTAAGCCCTCAGCAAGCCATTTGTTACTTTGCACCTATGAACACTAGAGGACATGATTTAATGCTAATTAATGTCATCACTGAATATGATTTCCTCACCTTTAAAGGCATCTGAGTAGCACCTATTAGTTCATTATCATGTTTCCCTGTGGACGCAGTTACCGCTATTTCTTTCATTAGCTTCCGTAGGCCACGAACGCCTTTTACTTCAGAAATTTTGGTGAATTTTTCACGAACAGTTTCTGCTGGATCAAAATCCCTGGAAAAAAGGGAAAACAAAGAATTACAACTAATTTTATTACCAAAAGTATTAGTTTTAATTCATTTAATTTTAAAAGTATACAATTTAACAGGCATTATTAACCTGCAATGGTATTTAAAATTAGTGACGACAAATTCTCATGCATCAGGCAGAAAATATGACTTCTTGGGCAAAAAAAGAGAGAAAAAATGCATTGGTTGCTACACAAAAAGCACTATTATGAAAATAAAAAATTTATAATACCACTTTATAGGTATTTATTTCTCTCATTTCCAATAAATAAAACTTTAAGAATTTCCGTCTTCAGCATACGGCTGATGAGAATTGGATCCATCTGGGATCAAACATAACCTTTCTACATGAGAGGAAGAGAAAGAAAGCAAATTGACACTTACCAGACTTCAACACAAAGTATATCATCAGCCGGGTTTTGAACTGGCCTGAATAAAAGAAAAAAATATTTTTAAAATTGCAGATAATAAATCAGAAAAGACAAATTGATAATAATTTACAGAAAGTATGTATTCACATCCTGATAATGAAGATGCAATCCACTCAAAGATTTAACACGTATAATAATTATTGCAAATTTCCCGCCTACTTTTTCTTTCTTTATGCTATACAGTGAGAGACATTTTCAAAGAAATTGAAAGTCTTGTCAATTTCTGCTCAAAAAGTGCATAATACTTTTAGAGTTATTTTATTGTTTGTATCTTGTTCATCCCTCATTAGAGATACCTGAATAAAACCTCGATCAAAAGCAGCCAAAAAAATTAACAGGTTCATAAAGGCCTCAATCAAAATTGGGGAAAAAAATTAACAGGTTCATTAAGCAGATTAATTGAAACCTGCTGGTAATTCATATTTGTTAATAACATTATAGAATATCTGAAAAAAGAACTTACAAAGAGAAATGCTCCTCCCAAACAGGTGTTAGAGTCTGCCCTTTGACAGAGGTGTTGTAACGGTGAGTTGGAGCTGAGCTTAGGAACAATGTGCAGAATGGGTCGCTCAAACCTATCATACAGATAAAGAAAAATATTCATGCTAAAGTTTTTACAATATCGTTTTAAAACTAGATATTAATTAAAAAAATCAAGAAAAAGTCATGAGTGACTTTAGACTATAGAGATACTGGCTGAATACGCTACTCATATCGTCATATCAAGGGTTTTCTGCCGCTCAAAGAGCAGTAGAGATACTGGTGGCCTGAATGTCTTCAAAAACCTTAGGCTATGATCATTTCAGTCACAATTACTGTTGGTCTGCCAGTCATAGAATGGCTCTTGCAATTATTGCTCCGATGTTGAGCTATGAATTACAACGAATAGACTTTTATCCTCAGATTTAACAAAAAATATTCTAGGAACTGTATTGATGGCCAAAGTCGGAAACAACGAATCTTCATTGCGATGTTCATGACATACCTGCAATGTTAATATTCTGCTGACAGAGAGGAACAGTCAAGGAAGTTTTCAAGAAATTACATTGATTAGTTTTCCAGAGAAAAAATAAAGTGCGACGGGAATTTTCTAATATTAGCAAAAAAATATGCATAGTTTTGCACTTTGACCATCGATATTCTTGATGCAAGAGTGTACCTGATCCCCCAGCAGATTTAAATTTCTTGTATTTTCTTTAAAACTCTACAATTCTGGGCAAAACAAAAAAACAAAAAAAGAAGAGGCATCAAGTTTTTTTTTTTTTTTTTTTTTTTTTTTTTTTTTTTTAAAGGGAAAATACTACCTCTAGAGACTATGCAAACTTTACTACATACTTAAAAATTTCTGGCCCGTTTTTTTAGTACCTGCTGGTCTTTTAACATATTAATCTATAACTTAAGAGCTTACCATTTGCATCTTTTGATGAAAGTTCTTTTGCTTCAATGACCTCCACATTCAAAAGTATATTGGGGGCCTAGAAACAGAGGAGATAAAATAAATTATAAAGTAAATATTTACAAACAATAATATTCACCTATGAAAGTGTCTTCTATGAATAATTTAAGAGAGTGAGAGAGAAACTTAATTACGGTAAAGACATTGCAAGGAATTTTATTTCGGTAAGGTAATCTGTAAGAAACGTTTGTACTCACAAGACCGATAATGAACTCATTCTGATTGTTTAAAATCATAAGTAGGTACTTTAATGGGCAATGCTGTCATTCTGATAAAACTATGACAGTCTCTTTCAAATATACAATACTTTTGAATGGTGCGACTAGAGATGAGAGATTTTTCCATGAAAATTTTGCGAAGTTTTGTTACTTTTATCAGACTGTGCCATCTAATGTATCACTTGTGAGTGAGAAATTTGAAAGCATTGCTACAATTTTCTCCACATGCTCCTTGTCTTTTTCAATTTTTGCCAGGAAAATTAATTTAGAATCATAAAAGTGTTTTTGTTTGCTAGCCTGTACCCAAGTAGCATTTTGCAACGAAAAAATTGCAATTTAAATGAAATAAAATTTCCAGATGATTTCAACTTTCTTGCAAGAAAATTGCAATTATTTTACAACATCTGACCCCCTCATTGTAAAAAAGTTGCAATTTTTTTTTTTTGCAAAGAAATTTCAATATTGACGACCTTTAAATTTCAACCCCTAAATTTTCCGGGGAAATTATAATAATTCGAACCCATGCTTACATAATGTCCTACGACGTTTAGCAGCATAAAATACCGGACGCCTTTGAGTGGGCTTGAACCCGACCTGCGAATGTCATAGCGGAGCACTCTTCCACTGAGCTACAGGGAACTGATGATGAGCTGGGTTGAAATCACGCCTGTTAAGGCTGTTATCGCATGCATTGCGTCAGTGCGTGGCTCAACATTCATCATAGATTTGATTAACGCCGTTTTTCTCAGGCTTCTTTTTTTTGCCTATTATTTATTTTTTTTCGTGTTATTTATTTTTTTCATATTTTTTTTGTCTGATTTTTTTTTCGATATCACGTAATAGGTACTCACACTAAATTTACATCGGTGTAAATTACACCACATACTAACTTGAGAACTTAAAAATATTTTCAAAAAATATTTTTAAAATATTTTCAAAACTTTCTTAAGGAATATTTTTAACATGCATGTTTACAGGCAATATTTTTGAATTATTTTAAAAATATTTTTTGTAAACATTTTCAAAATATTCCTTTAAAATGTTTTAAAAATATTTTGAAAATATTTTAATTACAATATTGCCATGAAAATATTTTGATAAAGGTGACAATATTTTCAAAATATGTTGGGCTATATGGGTTAGGTGAGACATTTAAGTCGAAAAAACTTTAAAACAACTAGAGAATTGGATGCCAGGCACATGGCGTGAATTTGTTACAACATGATTGCATCGAAATTGCAGTCTTTATAGTGCCTTGAAAAAGAAGGTTAGGCAACAAGCATAATCTACATTTCTTGCAAACTTATTGCAATAAAATTGCAACTTTTTAAGCGCCTTCAAATGAACGTATAGGCAACAAGCAAAAATTGCAATCAACTCACAATCCATTGCAATGAAATTGCAATCCATGCTACTTGGGTATGCAGGAAGCTGGGTGATAATAACAATCCACTCCCTTGGATTAAAATTTCTCGAATACAAAAAGAAAAGTTTCACAACCTACCTCTTTTTGCTGGGCTGTTTCCAGTAAAACATGATGAGTTTCGTCATCCAATTTGAACACTTCTTGAGCAAAAGCGAATAAAGATTCTTTCTGAATGTCAGTTGACAAGTCAGCACCAACTATGTGTATAATTTCGTACAAGACTTCAACATACAATTCTTCGATCTGGAAATGGAAAAAATATTAAAAATTAGAAAATAAATAGAATATCGGTTCAATAGTCAAAAAACCTGACCGGTCAACATGACATTTAAAATAAATAGCATCTTAAAAGGAGGCGCAGTAGTTGTGGCGCACACTCATATTCAGGGCGTCACACAGTGGATTGAGTCAATAGAAGAGGTCGGACAAAATTTGGAAACTTTAAACGTTTAGAGAAAACAATCGGATTCAGAAAATAAATTACAAACGAGAGGCGACAAAATCTCTCATTTCCTAAGAGTAAAAGTATAGTAATTTCTAATTTTGTCGTCTTTCGGTGATACAAGAGACAACACCTTTAATTGGTCGAGTTAAGAGACAAACCAAACACGCAATTTGACCTGGAGCGGAGCGGCGCGACGGTCGGCATGAAACACAAAGCGCCTAAAAGACTGCACGAATACTTCACGCATTGCGTCAAGCACACTGCGGTCAGCAGCAGTCGGCTTGAAACGCATAGCGCCTACAAGACTACATGGATACTCCACGTTGTGCGCTAAACAGTGTGGTCAGCAGCGGTTGGCGTGAATCGCATAGCGCCTATAAGACTGCATTAATACCTCACGCATTACGCAAACACAGTGCGGTCGGCGTAGCGGTGGAAGTTAAAATTTTTAAGCACATTTATGTTTGTTCTTTCATAATTTTTTCGTTCTTTTTTATAAATGTAAGGCCTTGTTCAAACAGGGATGGGTTTACGGAACTGAACTTTTGTTAGTGTTGACAGGGCTTTTACAAAAAATGTGCCCAACACGAGTAAACGCGTCTTATACACCCCTCCCCCACCAGCACGAGATCGTAATCGACAGATCACACAGGTGACATTATATTGATATCGATTGGTTCAATATGTAACCACAGCCTCAAAAGTCAATTTAGAAATCTGAGGTAACGGGTCTTATGTGATCGAATTTTTATTAACTCGAGTACCAAATGGCAATGAAAAGTGAAATTGTTAGGAATTTTCTCATTTTCAGCTTTCCTAAATTAAATCCTAAAATTTTTGTTCGAGGTTATGTTTTACTGTTTTGAACCAAACGATACATCGAACCACTGTCGAATACGATCTATTGATGTTTCAAAACAAATGAGAAGGGGGCGGAAAAATACAGGCGGCCCATGGGCGGCATGTAGGTAAATCCGGCTCTGCCGACCTCTCTGATTAACTGTATCCACTGTGCGCCACAGAGTTCTCGGCTGAGCGGCGAGCGGCCGATGTGACCCAGTGCCGCAGATTTGAAATTCCCGCGCTCAATTCGAACTGTAGGCATTCTCCCGCGCTAGCATCTTATTGGTCCCTGCCACTTTTACCCGCGCTGCGCGGGAACGCATCTCGTTGGACGAAGATTTACTTGGTTTTTTCGTCAAGAATGTGGACGTATCCATGCGTAGAAAGGAGCCCTAGCAGAAGGAACTTTGCCTATAGGATTAACGGGGTTCATGGTTCTTTTAACTTTAATTAATTTGCACTTCGATAATCAATACGGCCAATTTATGTTTCTTTCTTATTCTAGGCTCGAGGGATATTGATGACCACAGAGTGAGACCACGTGGGTATATCTCCGTCTGCGACGTTGGAGACATCCTGTCATCCTTCATTTATTTTTCAGGAAGCTAGTCGACGTAATTTCTTAAAAACTTTCTGGATTTTTCTTCTCTGTTAACAGAGTATTCTATGTTGAAGCTATGTAGGTAGTTAACTGTTTTCTTGAAAAAAATAAAGTAAGAGCTAAAATTCTACAACACTGCAATTGGGAGATACGTATTTGCGCACTTTAGGCATCGATATGGTCCAGGGTTAAACGAACACACTGTACTGTCATGTTAAGGAGGAACCAGAGGAATCTTCAAACGTTGCCAAATTTTCTTTGATAAATAATAACTTTCGGTAAAATTTGCGAATATTTTTCATTTAATTTTGCAGAGAATTTCATCCGCAGTTTAAGCGAAAAAAACCTGAAAAAAATGTGAAATATTCAAAACTCCATTTTGAAAATTTGGCACCGTCCAATTGTCCATACGGCATTTCTCATAAGCACGGCAGTAGAGAGGCTTATTTTATGATCAAGATTGGGGCTTTTCCTTTGAAGAGTTTTTCCCCCAAAAGTCAAAAGAGCCCTGAGTCGCGGAAACAAATAACCGCCCCGGAGTTTTGAGAAAATCATCGTTGATCCTGAATTTTGACGATGGATCATGAACCAAAACTAATGAAAGAAATTGAAATAGTATCATCTGCCCCTCCCACTCTCCTCCCCCTAAAAAATAACCTCACAACCGGTTCATTTCCTTTCTTCATTGCATGATGTGATTGGAAAAAGAACATGTATGAGATATTTTGGAGCTTTATTGGTAATTTTGAACAAAGATTTTACCTGAGAATACCCTCAAATGGATCCAGGAAAAGCCAATTTTCCAAAATTTTTCGGAGAACGTCCACTAAAATCCCCGTTTGTATTGGGGGAAACAGAATTCTGCTTAATACAGTAGGGGTCAAGCCACCCCTAGAAATATCGATGGCCTCGTGCAAAACCACCTACCTACCTCCTTTTGCGAAGTTGCAGACTTCCTATCATTCTTTATTTTTTCTTTGGAAAACTAGCCGACTTAATTTCATGAAAACCTCATCGATTTTTCTTCTCCATGAGCAGAATATTCTGTATACATTTCAAGCTTGAAAGTTGACTTGCTCCTCTTCTTAAACTAAAACAAGAACGGAAATTTTGAAACACCGCACTGGATATACGTGGTTTCGCACTTTGGCATCGATAATATGCTCCAGCCTCGCCCATGAGATAGGTGCTCCTGCGCTGGCGTTCTAGGGAAGAACGCCCTATGAGCCTTCAAACGTTGCCAAGTTTCCTCAGATAAAAACCGAATTTACTGGGAAAACTGTGAATATTATTTTCAAACAATTGTTTGCGCGGTTTAATCTAAAATGTCTGAAAATTTCAAGGGAAAATATGCACGAATGTTGTCAAAAATACATGTTTTTTCAAGGGAAATTTGGCGACTCTCGAATGTTCATACGGTGCTCTTCCTTAGCACGGCAGAACAAGTGAGCCATCAGAAATGGACCGTGTTAAACAGAAAGGATCCAAGCCACATCAGCTATTGCCAAATTTAATTGGGAAATTTAATTTTTTACATGAAAACGGATTTGCGGATTTTCGTGCAAATTTCAGTGGATTATTTTCATAGTGCGAAGCAAATTACTTAACATTTTCAAAGGAATCCACACAAACGTTCTCTCGTAAAAAATTAAATTACATAGTTAAATTTGACAATAGCTGATGTGGCTTAGTTCCTTTCTGTTAAACGCGATCCAATATTGGTTCCTCGTTGCGAAATTTAGTCCAACTTACAGTCATCGTCATCAATTTGAGGTTGGTCTGCCGTTGCAAGACTTCTTTCTTCAACCCGCGGAAGGTATTCAACGGCCGTAGGATCTTCATTTTGGCCACCATCAAATTTGGCAGGGATCCGTAATTATTCGCGAGCTGCTTCTTGGGTCGCCGTTGTAGCGTGTACATGTTGGCGCCTCATAGGCGTGCAAACCACCCGACCGCACGCACCCTCAAAGCACAACCTCGACGATCATGGCTTAACTTCCGAACTTCGAACCGAAATTTTCGGTCAATTTCACCGACTCTCACGATTTCCCGTCGATCTTCGCTCGATTTTACACTGGTTCCGATCTCGGGGTTTCGGATTAGGTTTTCAAACGCCCGGAAAAAATATCACAGCTTTCTGTCTCACACTTTAATACTGTACTCACACGGGGCTGCATCGAAAGAAAAAAACTGTCCCATACAAATACTGATAAGAGAACATCTGCGAGATCATTCAACACTTGACTAAACACAAGGACACTAAAATTGCCCGAATAATTTAACTAAAGAACATAAGAAAAAGGGTGACCAAGGCTAAAAAACAACAAAACATACATTTTTGTCATCACTAATTGGGGGTCTACTGCCGTGCTAAGGAAGAACGCCGTATAAGCTTTTAGACGTTGCCATAAGTTCCTCCGATAAAAACCGATTTTTCTGTGAAAATTGCGAATAACCTTTTCCAAAATTTTCAGACAATTTTGTATGCAATTTAATCTAAAATATCTGAATATTTCAAAACAAAATATGCATGAATGTTGTCAAAAATGCATTTTTTATCAAGAGAAATTTGGCAACTTTCGAAGGTTTACCTATACGGCGTTCCTCCTTAGCACGGCAGACTAGATATTTTGATTTTTGTAATTTTGTATATATTTTGGTTTCCTGGTCGAGGAGGGGGATGAAGGCACCCCAAAACGTCCCAGGCTTTATTTTTTGTTGTTTCCTGGCCTTGGTTACCCGTATTTATTGGGTTTTGAGTCACTTGACTGCATATCGACGGTGAAACTACCAAACCACGTATCTCGTTTGCGGTGTTTAAAAATCTACGCTCACATTTTATTTTTTGGAAGTAGACCAAATCAATATCATTCCTTGAAATTTTCACAGAATTTTCTCCGTGCGAAGAGGAAAAATCACAGAAATTTTCAAGGCTGGACGTTAAATAGTTTTTCATTTAAAAAATAAAGTATGACAGGAAGTCTGCGACGTCGCAAACCGAGATACGTGGTTTGGTAGTTTCACCGTCGATATGTAGTAAAACTTGATGCCAATCGATTGGGTTGAAGATTGCGGTATTAGATATTTCGCATCATTCCTGCGTACGTTTTGAGAACAATGAGAGAGGGATTGCGACTGGCTTCGTTAAACGTTTCTACACTGTGTTGAATTCTGTACACGATGCGCTATGCGATGTATGCTGCACTTGTGTGATCAATCGGGAGAACATAAAATTGATCAAATGGACGTATTTATGCTAAAAGGAACTATGTGCTTAGGATTTGCGTGAGACATAGTTCCTTTTGACATAAAATTGATCAGATGATGTGATCAATCAAAAGTTAGGCAAAATCT